ACCCTCCCCGAAAAGGGGGGGGGGCCCAAGCATTTTTTGGGGGGTTGGGGCCGGGAAGGGTTTCGGGGGCCAAAAAGAATTTTTTTTTCCCTCAAGGGTTTTTGAAAGGATTTTGGTTGCGGTTTGGGAGGGACTTCTTTTTAAATGTGGGGCTTGACTCCCCCAAGAAGACTCCTTTGGGTTTTGGGGACATTTGGGGGTGCCCCCCCCCCCCCCCGCATCGTTGACAGCAAGCTTTACTTGACGCACGAGACTTCATGGCAAGTCTTCCGTGTCACACTGGCAATCGAATCGGCGCGTTACCCCTTGTCTGCGCATGCGATAAACAAGAGTCGGTCGATGGCGTTGTGTTTTCGAGAATAAACGTTGGTTTTTGAGGCGAAGTACCAGGGTCATGGTATCACAAGGAACTGCGACTACTGTTTACAAAGCCGTTTCTCTCACCACAAACTGTGTATAATGTCAATACACATTCGGAAAAACGATGGACGAGGCAACAGTATGGTGTCGTTCAAGGCACGCATGAGATGTTGGAGCAGGAACCTAGCTCTTGGAGTATACCAGTATTTCCGGTGCTCCAAGATTCTAGGACTACCATCGAATCAACCGCGCTCACTGGGTGCACACCGAGCAGGTGTTGTGTAGTTACACCCGAGCAGGACAATAGCAATGACACGCCGGTCTCAAGAGGGAGAGCGAGTGAAAAACACCCCCTGCCTCTGAAGCAGGTTGTACGGCTATGCGTCTTAAACCGGTCGGCGTATATACGCCAAAGCTGGCGAGATTCTTGTACTCGCCAGTTCAACAATTATTGGGTTGTAGTTGGAGGTAGACACGAAACTTCAGGCACAGCGGGTTTCCAGCCCTAAGGCTACACCACGGCGCTAGGCCTCGCTAGGTCCAACCCACCCCTAAACCCTAACCCTAACCCTAACCCTAACCCTCACCCCAAGCTAGGTTGTTGTGCAGTGGGTAGGCCTAGGTCGCTGTGCCGAGCCACTGGAGGGTGCAAGAATCTCGCCAGCTCTGGCGTATACACGCGCGGCGGTCTTAAACAGGTGGTTCTCAACTTGAAGGAGGACCTGTTCGAGCGGGAAGAAAAACCAAAGCAGGGCAGTGACACGCCGGTCTTAAAGAGAGAAAAGTACCCACCCTGCGTCTTAATCAGGTCGTGCGGCGTATGAAGGGGGAACCTGTGCTACGTAGCCCTCCTGTATGCCAAAGGCAATGTCACGCCGGTCTGAAGTAAGAGCGAAAACTCACCGTCGCTGCCACAACGCAACGCGCGTCGTTGTGTGTGCGTCCTTTCTTACCACACACAGGTGGTGCGGCAGATGAAGGAGGACCTGTGCTACGTAGCGTTCAACCCCTCGACGGAGGAACAAGTGAAGCAGCCCGACACCGTCTACAAGCTTCCTGACGGCCAAGCCATTCGGGTGAGGTTTGTTTGTCTTTTTTCACCAATGAAATATGTTTTCGCAAGTGTTGCCTGAGTGGTGACTGTCAGGCTATCGTGTTGCGTATTTTTGCGTTGATTTTTCTGATATATAGCTCTGAGTTTCGTCGGGATTTCAAGCAACCTCGTCAGAATCTGGATGCGCTTGTTTTTTTTTGTATTGTCCTACCGCTCAGCACCGTTGATGCTGTCAACAGAACACACACACACACATACACAACCACGTTTGTTTGTGTATGCCCCCTGCAAGCGACAGACAGACATGCATGCTTCCACGCTCACGCACACACACACACACACGCCCGCCCCTCCCGAAAAGGTGGGCCCCGAGCGGTACCGCGCTCCGGAGTGCCTTTTCCACCCGGAGCAGCTGGGCTCGGAGTCCATGGGCGTGCACGATTGCCTCCTCAAGGGCATCATGCGGACGGACATGGACATGCGCCGGACGCTGTTCGGGCAGGTGGTGCTGTCTGGCGGCAGCACCCTCTTCCCCGGCTTCGGCGACCGCCTCCTCAACGAGGTGAGTGAGGAAACCCGATTTGGGAGCAAGGGTCCGGTTCTGGGAACGGTCCTCAATGCGGAGGAACATAGAGTTCTATATAGGTTAGGTCCTCACGGAGGCATAGAGTTCTAAGTCTGAAAGTTCCTCAACGCGGAGGCAAAACAGTTCTAAATCAGATGTTTCCAGATTTTTGGGGAAAAGCGACCTGGCGCCGCTTTGTCCTGGACCTCCTGTTGCTTCCAGGAGACGAATTAGATTTAGTTATTGTTGTGTGTACTGTTATCGTTCCGTCCTCTTGTTTCCGGTAGAAGACGCTGGCGAGCGACGGGAGAGAAGGGTGCGCCTCTGGGGGAAGACATGGCTGAATGCAGCATGTTGGTCACTCTTGTGTGTGTTCCCTCCCCCGCACCACTGCGAGCACCTTCCCTTGTTAAATCTCTCATTTTCACTCTACGTCTCCACGCTCAATTTCTTTCACAACGACACCCCCCAAATCAGGTCCGGAAACAAGCGCCAAAGAACCTCAAGATCCGCATCACGGCACCACCGGAGCGCAAGTTCTCCACGTGGGTAGGAGGGTCCATCCTCGCGTCCTTGGCCACCTTCAAGGTGGGTTGTGCAGCTACTGCTGCCGCTGCCGCTGTTGTCTTCATCGTTCTTGTTGTTTCGTTATTGCTGTTGGTTGTTTCTGGCTGACGTGATTTGCGTTTTCGTGTCTTCTCGTGAGAATGGTCGTGTCATGTTTGGCTCCACCCGTCTATCAACTTGTGCTCTCCTTTTGACCCAACAAGTAGTTTGGTACATGGCTCCATTTTCACACGCACGTCAAGCTCGCCCACCGCCCACTCCGCAAATCCGCACTCTCGTGCTTTGCTTCCTCGCCCTGCTCCCGTGCACCCCCCCCCCCCAAAAGCCCCCCACTCGGTGTTTGCCATCGGGATTGGGTTTTCGTCGCTTGGCAACGACGTTGTAAAACAAGCCAATTCACTTCGTGACCTCGGCAACCAGGTTACCGTTTTTTTTTTTTTACCTCGTTTTTTTTTTGGCGGTAACCGTAATGGTGGTCGAGTAGATCATGTTGTGCGGGGTCGAGAAACCTCTCTCCGCGCAACGGGGGATGATCGCACCACGTTGTGTTAAAATGGTCAAGCTTCCTCGAGGCAGTTACACAGTGCTTACAACTGTCTCTGGAAGTGAAAGCACCAGAAAATAAATTAAGTCATACGTAGCTGTCATCCGTACGCAAGGAAGTAAGCACAAGATGCCGAACACCCTTAGCAGGATGCAGCTCACCCTTCATGCGACTCGCCAAATACCTCACGGCGCTTCGCGCTTGGTGATGTGAGAGCCTGGTCCGGTGAGAACCCGGCGTGCTCCGTCCCGGCTTTGTAGGGATGCGAGGTCAATGGTCAAACGACTACGGCATGAACGACTATGAGTACACCCCCCCCCCCAATCGACACGTTCTCGACCATGGTACCCCCCCCCCGCACCCTTCGACTCGCGCGTGTCGGGCCTCCCGCAGGACATGTGGGTTACTCGCGCAGAGTTCAGAGAACACGGGCCTAACATCATGGACAGCAAGTCTCTGTAGGGCGGTGTTTCCGTTTCATGTTCCTAGGGGTCGACAAACTAGGGTTGTCGTTGGAAAGAGGCGGGGGGGTCGTGGAAGGGGACCGGCCGCGACCCTTCCCGGTGTGCGCTCGCTCGCTTTCAATTTCCCAAGAACCGGCAGCACATCCGCTACTCGCACTGCTGTGTGCTACATTTTCTTTTGCCTGTTCCCACAAAGAGGAATGAATTTTGTGAACTCTACAATGTGCATTTAGTTGGTACCCTTTCGATTCCCAGCGGTTGGGCGATCGAGGGGGGGGGAAAAGAACCGTTTTTTGGTGCGGGTCGAAGGTCTCGCGGGTGCGTGGTTAGTATCAGCGCTGCTGCAGACGCTACTCTGGAAGGACGAGGACGGGGCGTTGTCTAGCGGTGATATCTCTTGTTGCTCACTCGGCATACACAAGGCGGCGGGGGAGGCTGGTTGTTGCCGAGAAGAGAAGAACACGCGGGGTAAATGGCAGTGGTTGGCTTGCGCTCTCCCCAGAGGAGCTGTTATTCCATTGAGCGGTATCGCACGAACGTGTATGGACACACAGGTGAACGCAAATCGATTGTCACTGGCTGTTGCCCTGCCACTGAAGCCGGAGATGCATTTACGCCCGTCGTAATGGTTTCCAGCGTTAAAAGGTTTAGCTACCGCGTGTTCACCCGGGTGCGTGTTGGGGGCAGCGTTCTCGGGGGTAATACTCCTTTGAGAATGCTGCCTCGGGCTGTGGAATGGCCTGACCCACTGCGTCGGTGGGCATGGCCATGCTGCGGTTCGGTGACATCTCTCGATTTTCATTGGAAGCGCGCGCCACAACTGTGACGTAGCGGAGAAATGAAAAACTGTTCTTTGTAGTTCTTTTCGTCAATGGGAAATATCTGACCGAGTGAATCGATGGAGGACGAGGTGTCGAAGGCGCTGCCCTCACGAGGAGACGATCAAAACGCATCCAGGTGGGCGACAAGGATGCCTCTCTCTGGAACAAAGCAACAACAGCAGTGTTCGAGTTGAGCATTGGATGTCCGCGGGGAGGCTTGAATGAAACGGCACTATGTACGCGCCAGACAACTAGAGGGAAGAACCGCTTGTCATCAACGCGATGCTTGAAACTCGACCCTGAGCTTGGTTCACAAAGCGGAAGGAATATATGCAGTGCCTTTATGAATCACCTCTTGTGTGTGTCAGCGTCAGGCATGGGGGCAAAATATCGAGGAGGAGATGCAAAAACATCCTCGATAGATAGCGAGGCTGCTGTGTTGGTTAGGCTGTGAAACATCGCGCCACCCATCGAAACAAACAAGCCGGCCATTCACTGCTCCCCACCCGATTTCCAAAATGCGAGGAAGGCCGTGTTGAGTGCTTCCCTGCTTCGTGAAGGGTGCACGTGGAAGAAACCCGTCTAACAAAACTGTGCCGATCGTCTGTTCGATGTCTTCTTATCGATATCTCACCTGCCGTCGGCGTTGGGAGTGATTGTGAACGCAAGTCCTACGTGACAGCCCTCCGTCCCATCATGGGGGTGCGAATCCTGTGCGATCTGGCGATGATGCTTATCAGGTTTATGGAAAAGGGGATCCGTAATGTCGGGAGTAAGCACAGGATGCACAACTTGGGTGCTTCCGCGCGATTGGACGGGGGGGCAATCACATACACCACTTGCGGTTACAAGTTCACTCCCAACTCCTTCGGAAGACGAGAGAGTAACAACCAGACGCAAACCATTGATACCGTCTAATACGATTGGCATATTCACTTGAACCCTTCACGAAGCCGGAAAGCATCCAACTCGGCCATGTTTGCATTGATAATCCAGGTGGGGCGAAGTGATTTCATGTTCTTGCCCCAAATTGTTCAGCTGTGCCTCGTTGCGAAGATTTGATTCCGCCGTGGGATGCATGCATGCCAGCAACGAAATGAAATAACTCCCGCAAACCAGAAATGAGAAAGAGGGACGACCTTGTTGCACGTTGTGTGTTGGGCACTGATGGTCAGTCCGAGTGTTTCCACGTGTCGCAGGTCGCGGAAAGTACTTCAAAGAACCTGTAGGTCCCATAAAATAATCGGCTTGGTAACGGATAGGTGCACGCCAATAACGTCAGCATCCAAACAACGCCGCGCTCTCGGCCCTGGGAAATAGCTTGTTGTACCGGCAAGGCGGAAATGCGAAACGGAACGAAACACGGTGGTCCTGATCCACGAAGACGTCCATTACCGTTGGGCGCACGGCACAACACAGGGAGTGACACAAAAAGGGCACTATCTGGTCACCAGAACGAGGCTCGATGCGAAATACGGAATGAAATCGTTGTCAACATCGCCACGAGGCGCGCACATGGCAAGCCTTAAGTCTGTACACACCACGCAAGAAGAACATCCTAGCCGAAAACGTGATGAGTGTCGCAAACAGCTTCGCGCGGAAGAACTTGAATCCAAGCCTATTCTGGTGTTGAGGGGTTAGATACCCCACACAACAACACAGAGGAAATTATGGAGTGAGATTCGGGGAGAAAACCGAGAGGGTCTTGACAGCGATGGGGGATGTGTTCCCCCGTTTTCCCTTCTCCGTTCTTCTCAGAGATAGTATGGAGCCAATCAAACAGTGGCATCCACACCTCCCACGGTGGTCATTTGCCGGTGGAGGCCTCCACCTCCTCCCCTGCCTGCTGTCGAAGTGGGTGCCGTGTTCTGTATTCATACATACGTTGAGGTCCGAAGTTGGTTGTACTTCCTTCATGAACGCTGACATGTGAGGTATGCATCTACCTGTCTCATTCTTCTTGACGCTGACACATGAAGCATCCGTCTATCTCTCTACTTCTTCTTGATGCTGACAAATTCCTCCGGGCGGGAGTCCAGCATGTCGCCGAACTGCCCGGAGGGGAGGTACACCCACACCCCGACCACAGTGCGCCCGTACCGCCGGTTCCGCAGCCCGACCATGGTGCCGTCGCCGATGGCGTGCGGCATGCAGCCGAGCTCGACGGGGTACTCGATCACAACCAGGGTGTCCTGCGCCACGAGCTGTTGAAGCAGGGGTTGGGTGTAGGTGCGAGTTGGTGCTGGCCGTGTCAGCGTTGGTCGTGATAGTGGGTTGCGGTGGTTGGTGGAGATGTTGAGTGGTAGTGTCGGTGTAGTTCATCGTAACAAGGAGCGCCAACTAAGGCTTTAGAGCGCACAACATTTTGCGTTTCTTAGTAGTGTTGTTGTTGTTGTTGCGGTTGATACTGCCAGCTTGTGTTGATGGTGTATTGTGGTTGATCGTCACAGGATTACCGACGCCAAATAGGCGTTTGATCACGCGATGATCCAGGGGCGGAGGAGGCGACGAGGAGCGAAGACAGGCAGCTTGTCGTCAAGTGCAATGCACAGCTGACGAAGAGTAAGGGCTTGAGTTGGAACCTCTAAAACTTCGCCCCATTTCCCTATTCCCTCCCCTCCCGCAACACGCCCGCCGACTCTCTTGAAATTCCACAAAGCAGGACAAGCCACAGCTTGAGCAACATGACGAACTCCGCCCGCTCTCTTGCCGACGGCGTGCCACCTCTCCAAGGCAATACGCATGGTCATGTAGATCACAGGTACATCTACACGGGAGGCGTAGGGCCCATGCTGGGGCATGCAAACGAGCTGCGCTCCGAGAGCCGTTTCAACTCTGGAATGAGCTGATGGACCCCATGGCATTTTCATGCGCCAAACACGTCAATCGACCAAAAACAAAAGACGGGCGAACAAAATTGATTGTTGATTATGGCACAGCGTTTGATCCCGATTCAACCGTCACCCTTCCTATCTTCTGGGCACTTACGTCGCTGACGGAGAGAGCCTTGACGAGCTCGGTGTAGACGACTTCCTCGTAAGGCGGCGTGACCGTGATCACGTCGAACGGGGCATCTAGGCCGTACCTTCGAGGGTTATACAAAACCTGACGTCAACCAAACAAAATATTGTGTGTGGAGAACGTGAGGGGGGGATCAACTCAAAATTTGCGACCATGCACACATTGCCTTCGTAGTGCGGGACGGGTCCGGCGAGTATTGGAAGGTGACATGGCATGATACAAGATACCACACCCCTGTACCGATTTTCAAAGCTGGATTTCTCCGCAGCAGACGGAGTGGCGGTGCCGAAAAATGGCGGCGTCGGAACCGTCTCGTCGAGAGCTTTCCCAAAACGTATCGTTTGACTCCCACAACCTCTTCGGCGTGGAGTAATGCAGCTGTGGAATCGATACAGGGGGTGTGATGTCTTGTGCCATCTACCGGTAATCGCACCACTCGAGCGGGGGTGTGCTGCCATGTATCGTCGAAGAATACGTCAGGTCTTCGTGCGGCCAAAACGCAACCAAGAGGGAAGAGAAAAAAATACTCCGAGGAAGTTTTCTCTCTGCGTGGTCCCTCACATCCATAACATCTCCTTTGACAGCCTTGGCCTGATCGGAGAAGCCGCACAGGTTGGCGTTGCGCAAACATACCTGGGGGGAGCATTTCAGAGAACAGAATAGAAGGAATGAAATCGACAAGATCAGCAAATGTAGACACGACACGCTTGCTCTATTGTGGAGGCATCGAGTACGGACAACATGGTGTCCGTGCTGTGTTAATACACCTCAGCGCCCCACACAGGGATTTCGCGAACTCGGCCCCTTGGGCACGATCCCTACTGCACTGCTCAAACATAGCGAACCCCCTCGATGGTCTAACGACTACGGCATGCGTTTACATGCGTACCCCCTCGATGGTCTAACGACTACGGCATGCGTTTACATGAGTACACCCCACTCCCTTTCCCCCCGCCAGCTCCGGCGCTCGTGAGGAGGACGGGAGCAGGAGCTCCACTGCAGCACCCACTCACATCGCAACAGTCCTTCGCGAAGTCGACGAACGTGGCGTGACCGGCTCCTCTCGAGAGTGCCTCAATCCCCACCGAACCAGACCCGGAAAAAAGATCGAGGAACTGCAGACGATCGGACAACAAAAAATACGCCAAAAACGGGAGAGGGGGAGATAGAAGTGGGTTGGCGGGCGGGGGACGGAGGGCACGCCGTCCTGCCATTGAAACAGCAAGCTGCAGAGGGAAGGCGACAACTTCTGCTGAGCAGCCCGACGGTGAAAGAGGTATCATCTCATGACAGCACCAGACCGTACAACAACCAACGGCACACGAGAGAAAAGGAAAACCCGGTTGACGCCAGCCGAATCTACCCGCTGTAGACTAGGACCCAACATCGTGACGACGATTTGCTCTAGGGCGTGCTTTCCCGCGTCCATACGCCAATTCGATACCCGGCTAATTTCACCGCTTAATACTCGGCCCCGCAGCAGTGAGCTCATCTCCGGGGATGTTGAACACTGGATAATATCCAAGAGCTGGAGTGAAGCCGGGGGGCACCGTGGTGGGGAGCTTTCCGGAAGCGGCGTGGGTGTGTGATTTTCGGGCTCAGCAACAAGGTCGACTCTCTCAACAAAGACCACTCGCTTTCAGGTTGAAAGTCCAACAACGGCAGCTGATAGGAGCAGATACGTATGGGAATGAATTTCTGATCATGTCTTGCAATACTCTACCTGTTTTTCTTTTTGCAAGAATCCAGAACGTAAGCTCATGTTGCCTGGATTCCTACCGCAGAAAGCGCTCTGCTGCAAATGGATGGATGCAAACAAAAAACGGACAAACTCTACAAGGACAACTAGGCAGCAGAGTGAAGGAGAAACAAGGGTGTCGCAGTTGTTGACAATTCATACAAAGCAAGGAGAAAGAAAGTCTTGCATCGCTGCTGCGATTTAATACTGATCCTTCTTCCACGCTCACCCTTGCATCCTCGGTCTCGAACACCCCGAAGCCCATGAGGGTGCTGAACAACGCCTCCTTAACCTGTCCACGTTTGTTTCACACAATTGCCGTGGATTTAGCCAGATTAGATACGTGCACATGCGAAAGAAAGGCTCTGCACACATAGGGTGCTGTGCAGCTGGTGTACGATCTCGTTGAGGGAGAAACTATCGAGTGTGGGGGCGAGCTTCGTTTGGGGTGCCTGGGTCACGACCAGCTACTCGGCTACGAAGCGCTTGCTTCTCTCGTGCCATTTGCACTTGTTCTTCCCCCAGACAAATCAAACGCGCCGCGTCACAAAACCTCTCTCCCGGTACTGAAGAACGCACGGTAAAAAAACACCTCCTTTACCCCAACCGCCACTCTCTGATATCCATTCCCACCTTGGCCATCATGGGGCGCAGAAACACGTCTGGGGATTCCAACCGCCGACCCTTGGCGATTCCCCCGGCCACCTTTAATCGGGCCGCGTTGTTGATGGACACTTCCCTCTCCTCCCCCTGTGGCCGGACCTTGCCGGGGCGCCCCGTTCCGCCTACCGTCGGCGTGCCGCTGCGTGGGCGGAGGAGGGGGCCCGATGAGTTTTTTCTTTCCGTACTTCATTTTTTGAGGCTTCAACTGGCAATGGTCGCGCTACATTACAAGCGTGTGTTTTCCGTTTGCGTATACACTGCTGCAGCAGCAGCCTTTCGCTGCCGTCGTGAGCGCGCGTGGCGAGGAAATGACGGAGTACTTCGCAGAAATGGCATGTAGTGGGGTGGGTGGTCGGGCGGCACACGGCTGTGGAGCGATTGATATCCCACGAGTTGCCGACCATCGCGCTCAACCCGTCAACGAGCAAACAGTTGGGAATTTAACCTGCAAGTGGCCGATCAGAAAGCCGTGTACAACCCCAAGGTGACGCCAACCACCGCGTTGAACTGCGACTGCAATTCACGACTGCATGCACAGCAGTACACAAGTTATTACATACGCATCAACAAGCTGTTGGTACCACGCCAACATGCTAGGCACTCCTTGGTTCGTCCAGCACGAGCTAACTCACTAGGCGCTCTGTCGGGGAGCGTAGATCTTCTCCGACGGCAAGCCCGTGTCGTCCCTCCTCAGGTTGGCCCCCCTCGCCTTGCGGCGGTACCTCTGGTCCTCCGCGAAGCTCTCGTCGTCGCCTTGGCGGCCGCCGCTGCTGCTCCTGGACTTCGCTGCTGCCGCGTGAATCGCGGTCCTTGCGGTCCTTGCACTAGAGGCAGTGAGGCAGTGGGTGGCGGCAACCGGCGCTCTCCGCGCCGAGTTGGAGCTGAAGTGGTTGAACCTTGAGGAGTGGGTCGGCGGGGGTGAAATGGGGGGTTGTAGGAGAAAGGCGCGGCTTTCGGTCAACGCGAGGAGCGCTTGCGCGGCAATCATCATCCACCCAACCCTGGCGCTGCAGCTGCTGGCCGTAATGGTGGCATGACTTCGCCTGGTCCCTCCACGGGGCTGCTGCTGAGCCATCGCGAGCATGGCTCTGCCAGAGGTTGTCTGCGCTGCGGACGCGTAGTGCACGCGGGACTGTCACTTCCTGGGTTTTCAACATTCTTGCGAGCGTTTTTTTTTCCGACGAAACGCCTGCTGTGTTTTATGAGGCACGATCGCATCATCGCATGATCGCATGATCGCGTCGGCTGCTGATTTGATGATTTGTGTACAATGGACCAGGCTGACAGGATTGATGTTGACACCCGGAGGGAGTATCGCCCGGCAAAGGCGAGATCGAGGGCTCGCCGGACGCCTGCTTCCCCCTACATAGCTGTGTGCGTCTACTGAACGGCTGGCGATGTCCGCGCGTACGGTCGCTGTCGTTGCAGTTTGCCTGTACGCACCGATATACTCGCTGTTGGTGCAGAGCGTGCCTCGGAGATCGGGACTATGCTTTATTTCGAGGCTTCGTGTGCATTACGCCACGACCGACTGGTCATTCTGGATGGAATGGTGAGTGTGTGGTGCAGCATAGTGTGGAGGTGGCGGGAGTCCACAGTCACCATCAGCTGATCTGTGGTCTGTATAGACCATTGAACGAGCCGTGCCTTGGGTGTTCTAGACTGTCAATGCTCATATACTACAGTAGTGCTTCGTATGACCCACGCACAGTCGGTTATGTCATCGACGTGGTACGTATTTAAACTATATGACTCGAACAGTACCCGTGGCAACGAGCCGAGAGTATATCTTTTGTTAGGAAGGCTTACCCATTAGACTACTCAGTCAGCGCTGACTGAGTAGTCTAATGGGTAAGCCTTCCTAACACATTCAACATCAGAGGTTTGGCCCTCGACGAGTGCATAGACGTGTAGATTTTGAAAAGCCTGCGCAATAGGCGACGCTGTTGTTGCCTTGACCGAAGACACCAGGCTCACCACGACCTCTTGTTTGTGATGGAAATTGACATCTTGTTTCTTTTAGAGAGAGTCGATGCTGTTGTGCCGTACATACAGTGGGAGCCCACCGTTCAGAAATTTCGACGAAGTGGGGTCTAGTCGCACTCTCCTGTTGTGGACCGCAACAACACTATTGTGTATCCAAGCCGGTGCAACCTGTTACTCCTATTGGAGTTTTACGATTGCACAGGGCCTGACCCTACTGAGCACTCTAAACATTCTTGCTCCAGTCCCTGTCCTCATTCCCTGGTAGTCAATACATTGAAGGATCTTTTCTTTCCCTTGGCTGCCACACAAATTACTTCTCGCCGCCACCCGAGAACGAAATCTACCCTTAGAGATAAAATTGAACCACCGGGAAGATCCCGGTTATGTTGAGTTTTGACAAGGTGGTTTGCCCTCATTAAAGGTCACCGACGATATGCACCCGCCATCAAGCAAGGTTGCGAATGATAAGAGATGGTGCCCTTCTGGATACAAACTCATCGCCCCGTCTCGTCTTGTGGCACCCATTCCAATAGCACACTACAACCACTGGGCGGTGGGGGCGAGGGGCGATGGGAGCAGTTTCTTGTCCGAAACCCTTGGCCAGACTTTTCACAACTTTGAATCTTTGCTGTGGGGTCTCGGACGAGCTTACAGGTTCCAAGTACAACATAGAATGGTCGGCATACTCAGCATAATCCGCAGAGTCAAGTATACCGCTACTGGATGCCAATCCCACATTGGTGCTACGAAATGACTGCTGCGCAGGACGCAGGCAATCTTCAGTATTGGCACCGTCCTCCTTTACGTGACGGACAGCTACTACTGGGAGGCGCCGTACATCGCAATATCGACAAAGCTTGAGGTGCGCAGCGTATGCCACACTTGTCTGGTATCCTCTTGAGTGGAACGAAAGGTACGGTCGTGGCGGCACATGCTCACAAGAGCACGTGGTACCCGCTGGATGTACTCCTGAAAAATGATCTCCGCCGAAATCTGTTCCTCAGTAGCCACACAAAATATCGGCGAGGCCGCCATCATTGCCGTCACCCAAGCCGCCGGAAGATTTCCACCCCCGCTCCGCCGCCTAAGACAACAACGAGCATCCGCGTTGTCTCGTGCAATACACTTGGTAACACTGACCGCTAAATTGTGTCGTCGTTGGCAACCGATGCCTCGTTCTCCCCATATTGCCAGCAGCAAACCGTCTTCATTCTCTGTGTTCGTGCTCACATCCCCCGTTCCGCCGTCTACGCACCACCCCTGCCGTCGGTAGTTCGTCCGTCCTCCCGCCCCATACCCGCTGCCGTGTGTCCGTTCTTCCTTCCCCTTCTCCCACCCTCCTCCCCCCTTTTAGGTCTTTTTCGCGGTGTTCTTCAGTTTCAACTTTTTGTTCGAGCTCCTGCTGTCGAAGAACCGGCTGGCCTTTGTCATGAGCATCCCCGGCATCGTGGACATGGTCACCATTGTGCCGGTCTTCTTGGCCCTGCAAGCCGACCCCGTCTCCAAGTCACCTACGGGCTTCGTGCGCCTCTACCGTGTGCTCATGTTGGCAAGGGTAAGAAATAGGGATATCACGCAATGCCTGCTTTCCACCGCATCATGAACTGCTTTGTCCGCCTCTAGGATCAAGATCCACCTCGCCAGAGGGCAAGTGTGTTTTTCGTCAGAAGCGATAACCTCGCCACGCGTAATACACAGTTTTGCCTCGGAATTACAGACTTGAGAGCACGAAGAAATTGTCCAGCTCGACAGCCGAATGAACAGCGGAGACAAATCGCGTCGTGATGTACTTGCTGGATATGTGTTGCTTTGTTTCAGGGCCACCCCCCCTCCTTGGCCCTGAAACAAAGCGACACATATCCAGCAAGTACATTTCATCGAATACCGTACGTTGGCTTTCGTAATTTGTCTTCTTCGTCCCGCACCAAATGGTCGAAGGTTTTCTGCTCGTTCAACCACATTCCGCTTCTTTACCAGTAGCAATATCATTCCCCATTGCATGGATCAATCGTCGGGGTTGTTAATTTGTTGTTTCGCTTCTCTCTCCTTCTCTCTGTCCTCTCTCTCGCTCGTTATCTCTCCTTCTCTCGTTCTCATTCTCTCTCTTGTTGTCTCTCTGTTCCTCCCTCGACTCACTTGGCCATAATCTATCCATCCTTCCACTCACCGTTCGCCCATCAAATGAAGGTGTTTAAGCCGCTCCGCCTGCTGAAGGCAGTGGAGAGCATTAGCCCTGGCAAGGATGCGGTGCTAGAACAGACGGCGAGAACAATGGCATACTTCGTTTCCACGCTATTTCTAGCCTCCGGATTGGTGCAGGTTCGTGTGTGCGTCACGGATTGCAGACGATCCGGTGGCCGACTCGCGCGTGAAGATGATATCACGACTGAAATGGCCACAACAGACAATGATTGCGTTTCCCTCATCTATCAGGTTTTGTCGGACGGAAGGACGGACGAATGGGGGGAGACGACGGATGCGACCAAGATGATGTTTCACGACGCCCTTTACTTCATAATCGTGACGTTCAGGTATTGTTACCGTTCTGACGGTCCTGATGGTGGGCATATGCCTACGTGGTTCTTCATTGCAGCCATCCGTGCAACAGCGCAGGTCTTCGTAGATGATCTGTGAGTGGTCGTCGAGGGTCGTGGAATAACGCACCGACCAAGCCAAAACCAACCCGTCGACACGGAAGACGTCATTACTTCTATTGTTTCCTGGGGGCCCCGTGCGTTGTCTTTGTTGTGGTTCTTGAAGCACCGTCGGCTACGGCGACATGAGCCCACCGGACACGCAGTCAAGGCTGGCGATCGTCCTGCTGGTCGGGTTTTTCTTCTTCATGATACCGAGAGAGCTGAACAAGCTCAACCACTTGCTCGACCTCAGCAGCAAGTATACGGTAAGTACCTTTCTTTGGCCTTACCCCATACATCCGCCCACATCATCCGGCGCTCATCCGGCACGCTTTCGATCGTGGACCGATGCTTGCCTTTCGTAGGCCAACTTTTTCACTACCTCTCGGGGCAGAGTCTACGCACGATCGATTATGCTGCCGGCGAGGCGAGCTTCTCTATGGGTGGCCTTGGTCTGGCTCTTGGGAGTGGCAGCGCAGGAGCTTCCGTGCATTCAAGGCCGTATCCATGTCCCAATCCATCATGGAGGACTAACGCACTTGCTGTCACCGGCTTGTCGCTGGGGTTGCTTCCCCGCTGTGTCGGAATGAGGAAGGGTCGTTTCAAACGAAACCTATATCTTTGAAACTTCGAAAATCGGAGGGGTGTGGGGTGCCTGGGAATGGGCATGGCTTGACGCGAATTTCGAAACAAGAAATATCCGAACAACCTCGAACAAAGGCCAGATCTTCAATTTTTCGTTTCTTGCGAAATGCATTCCAACGATTTGGAAAAGGTTTCTGTGTTTGAAACGACCCGAAGAAAGGCGCCATGTTTGATGCCCAGCCCTACCATGTTTCTGTGTTTCCTACGCAGGGCTCGTACCCGAAGAAGCTAGCGGGAGGGCACACCATCGTCGGATGCGACATTGCCTCTTGCGGGCTGGCGGGAGGCTTTCTGGAGGAGTTTTTCCATGAGGACCACGGTTATAACATCATGCACTTGGTAAGAATGCCATCAGCGTTGTGTACCAACGACCATTGTTCACGTGATGGTTTGAAGGTAGCGCATACGATATGTTTAGGCGAGGTGGACGGACAGTCAACAGATGGAGGTCATAGTTTCATAGTTTTCATTTGAATGGGAAGGAGACAAAAAGCGAAACATCGTGACACAGGATACTACGTTTGGCGATACGGAGCATGCGTACTGACAAGTCACGGCAGGCTTCCCAGCAACACGTCAGCTGTAATTGAAACCTTCCAGAAGATGAAAAATACCTTGAAATATTGAATTTCAAACCCGTCCACCCGGAACGTCTTCGGAGGTGCAGCGGAAAACTGACTGTGTGTGTGATTGCCTTCATCCGCGTCGTGACAAGTGCATTCATGCCAAAACATTTCCGACAGAATCAACGACCTCGAGAATATTTCGATCGATCGCTCAGGTGCTCCTGGTGCCGCACGAGCCTACCATGGAGTGGAAACGACTCGTGCTTAAGTTCGCCGCCAACGACCGAGTGACTTACCTCAAGGGAGATCTTCGCAGCACGGACGATCTCGCCAGGGTCAGCGCGGACACGGCGTCGTCCTGCTTCATTCTGACAAATAGGTATATACTGTCAGCGTATCGGTGCCCTCGACAATCGAGGTGTTTCTTCACTTCATACTTCTGGGACAATCTTTCACAATGTGGACGCTTTTCAGGGTGTGACGGCTACAGCCAGCCTTGGGCCCCTTTCGTGGCCATTCTGCGGGCACTCATGGCTGCTTTTCTATGTCCCTCCTGCCTGCACCGGATACAATGCGCTAATGAATACTTCTCCCCCCGTTCCTTCCTGCGTCACTTCGATAATTTTCCAATCTGTAAGGCACGGGAATCTGCGGGAAGAAGAGAAGCGAGGCTTCATGCGAGCCATCACCGTTCAAGATTTCAACCCGTCGCTGCGTATCTTTGTCGAGGCGCCTACGCACGGAATGAAGCAGCGCCTGGTCAAGGTATGACAGCATTAGTGCTGAAACATATATCGCAATGCCTCGCCCTAGGCCCGGCTGTATTACTTTTCAGTCAAACAAGGCATCCCCAAACGATTTCCCCTTCTCGTGTGCTATTGCTGCAGGTGGGCATAAATCCCTCTCGAATTGTTTGCGCGAGCACGGTCAACACTCGGATGCTAGCGAATGCGTGTGCGTGGGAGGGGGCATCGACGCTCATCAACAATCTGCTGGTAAGCAGACCTCTCTGCTCATTGGAATCAGTGATGCTACTTGCATTGGGTCGAGCCACGCGTGACTGGTACTTGTGTAATGTTATTGGCCATGGGTCTTTTCGAAAGGAAGAGGTCCCACACAGAGGCACTCTAAATACCCGGTTCTCTGCCGCGATTCCGCCAGCAGCAAAAGGATGCGCGAGACTTCGCGTTATTCAGCGGTTGGGGCCGCTCTTGAAGGGCCTGCTGCTGTCGTGCGTATTGAGCGTCCTTCTGTAGGATCAGCCAGCCAAAACACCAACCGAACACAACGTTGTTCCTTCCCCCTCTATTCGCCTCCCGCGGTGGTCCCGTTCCCCCTTCTGCCTGGTTCTACTCCACCGGATTTGAATGCGACGGACGGATAGGTATCGGCGTCGATCGATGAGCAGCAGGACATGCCGGCTTGGATAAAAGAGTACGCTTCTGGGCTCGGGAAAGGTAGGTCTCCATTGCGAGTTGAAAAGCGTTGCCTCTGGGCTACTATACTGTGGTAATCCGCTCGCCAACTGCGTGCCCCTTCGGCGAGGGCTGCAACTGCGTCCAAACTGGGTATGGTAGTGATTTCTGGGTGAAAGGTCCCTGCTCTCGTTTCCGATTCATGATATCCATATCTCGTTCATCTTGCTGCACAATTGGGGCATGACGGTCAATGCTGATGGATTGCCGTAGTCTACCATTTATCGACTACCTGCCCTTCTCAACGAAATACGTTCACGAGGATTCGTTGTCGGCAGGATGGCACCAAGTGGCAGGGCAGCTACATCATGTTCCGGTAGCGTGCTTGATATCTCCAATTTGCTCAAGGCTTTGAGTATGACTTGGCCGGCATGTCCTGCTCTATCCCCTTGTTGTCCCGAAGAAATTTACGTCGTCTCCATCGGAGCCTTTGCTGGCCGAGGCTTCAGCGAGTTAGTCCGAGAGCTGTTCGAGCAGCACGGAGTCATCCTCTTGGGGATCAGCGAGGATCGGCGGGTGGTGCTTCATCCCGGCGCTGGCTACGTCATTACGTCGGTAAGCCCTCCTCGGAAGAATGTGCCAATGCACGCCCTCTATCGTTTGTGGGGCACAGCGTGCAGATCAACTCCAATCGACTAACCTGTCTAAAAGCACGTAAAGTACCGAGTGTGTCGGTCATGTTGGCGGGTACTTGGGGCTCCTTCAACTATTGTGCCATTTGTGATGAAGCGGACCTGCCCCCCAAAACTTGCCCTTTTTCGTTGCTGGAAACGGTATCCGTGGAGGTGACACCATACCGGTGTTGTCTAATTGGTGCAGACTATTTCATTCCTGAAATATCTCAAAGTCCTCACCTGTCGTCCACCTCCAACTCACATTCATACGGGCCAAAAACCTTCCTGCGGAGAACGTTTCCCGAAATAGTGCTCTTGACTTCGACTTCGTCCACAACCGCACGTTTCAACGGCAGGCTGACCTAGGCTTTCTCGTCGCGGACGACGCGGACGTAGCCGAGTCCATCGTCGAGCAGGCCGTCGGGGCGCTCCTGCCCTTCCCCGAAAAGTCTGTACCGCAACCACCACCATCTTCGGCGCTAAAGGGATCGGTGCGAGAAGGGGCAGGTGTGAAGGGCCACGGTTCCACCGCAGCCACCGCGATGGCCTTAACCGCGGACGGACGGACGGCAGGGGTCCTTCCCCGGCTGGGACGAACGACCAAGGGCGTCGGTGGACGGAGCGGTAGCGGCGGCGGCGGGAGTCGAGGCGACGGTAAGTGCCGCAGCTTCCCGTTCGATCCGCCCGATTCTGGAGTGGGAGAAGCGGAGGAGATGGCCGCTGCCGCAAGGAACGCCGGCGACGCTAGCGCCCATCAAACTGGAGTTTTTCCTCTTCCTCCGTCTCCGTCATCACCTTGGACAGTAACCAATAGTCGTGGCGCAGAAACGGCCCGCGAGGATCTGCAAATCTCAACAGTTGGAGGAAGAGGGGAGGGAGGGGGAAGGAGTTCGACAGGTGGCGGTAGTCGCAACGGCGACGGCGCATCCAGCCCGTCCAAGATGGCGATTGGGAACAAGAGAAGCCCAAACAACGCCGGCGGCGGGGGTTATATTGTGCTTGTGACCCCCACGCTAGCTCAAGTTTCTACGCTGGTTGAGGCGTTCGAGGCCCCGCAGGTGCCGACGATGGGCTTCGTGGTTGTGTGCCCGCTGTACGACTGGAACCAGGAGCGGGACCAAGAGGAAATTCGCCGGCTGCGTGAGTTCCCGCAGGTGCGTTTCGGCGGGGTTGAGAGGGGTTGGGGCAGAATTATCGGGGGACATTTTGTTTTTAGGGGCTTCGTGCTTTCAGCGTTTGCTTTCCAGTACTGGGTTTGTCCCGACGGATTTGTGCTCGTCGCCGGTGGCCTCTTATGGAGATTGGGTGTCCCTCTCGCGATGGATGTGTGCCATGGGTTGCTATCTACTCTTACCACTGCAAGCCCGGGACGGCCAAACTGCCTTCGGGTCATTTCGAACCTACCACAACCCTAGACCCTCAACCCATGGTGATGGTTAATACCACATGTGCTTGTTTCTCGTCCAGGTCCGTCTCGTGATCGGGGCGGCTAGCAGAGCGTCGCTGCGGGAGGCCGGGGCGAGCAGCGCGAGGATGGTCGTCGTGAGGGCAGGGAAGAGCTTCCCCGAGCAGGGCGCGTCTGATGCCGATGCCGAAAGCATAGGACAGCTAGTCGAGGTTCGAACGCAGTTTCGGCACAAGTGTTTCGTACCATGTTCGATGCTCTTTTTTCCCGTCAGCGCCTCCCAAACATCTGAACTCAACTCCGTGAAGGGGTCACATCGCTGGTCAAGGAAGATGAACCCTTCCATGTCTTGACGAGGTTATAGGTTCAATGGGACATTTTTCTTTTCCACCGTCGTTCCTGAACGACGCCGGCGGACGGCAGATCCCTCAAGCTGTACATCCTGCTCGTAGAAATATGAAGCTGGCGCCATTGGCATTGACATTCTATCTCTTGCACACAACAATATAAGGTGACAGCGGTCGCGGGGCTTGACGTCCGTGCGATCGTCGAGCTCAACGACATGACGTACGGCAACCACTACGAGATCCTAGTCGATCTACTCCGCAGCTCTCGGTCGCTTCCACCGCCGCTGTCGCCGTCACTGGCGGTTGCACCTCTCTCCCTCGCTGCCGGGGACTGCGGCCGCCCCGACACGGTCTCGGCGACCGGCGACCGCAGCTACCAGTCGCACAGCAAACGCAATGTCCACTACAACGGTGGCTCCCCGTCCTCGACCTCGGGGGCCCTCGACAACGTTTTGTCGGCCACCGCAGTCGCGTCCATGCACAAGAACGCCGATGCCCAAGGAGGAGAAGGAGCAGGTCAGAGGTTGACGAGCTGGTGGCGGAGATGGCGGCATCGCCAGTTGGGCTGTGACGACGATAGATCGTCGCGCTACTCCGAGGGTCGAGGCGCTTCTCGACGCAGTGAAGGTGATCGGAACTCAGGAATCCCGTCAGTGAGTGGCGGAGGAGGGGGCGGCGTTTCGTCGTCGGCGGCAGCGGCCAGGGCCAGAGAGGGGCGGCGCGGTAGGGCACACTGGACCCTGACGAAGGGAGTGGCGTCCGGTGCGATTGTGCCAAGCAGCCTGCCTGAGACGCTGCTGTGCCAGGCGTTCTACAACCCGGCCATCATCATGATCGTCGAGGCCCTCCTGGACCCCAAGGCCCAAGACTATCGCAAGACAAGGCGTCGTCCAGGCCGCCACTCCTGGAACGAACGAGATGGCGCGGCTGCACCGTCTCAGGTTAGCGATGAAGACGGCGGCGACAACGATGGTTGTCGTGATGGAGGGGAGTGCGAGGACAAAAGCGGAGTTGGAGCAAGAGAGGAAGGGAGAGACGGCGCGGATGGAGGAGGAAGACGACCCACTAGCGGGGGAGGGGGGGTATCTTTTCTGGCACAAATCTTGCCTCCAAGAAGGTTCTTCACGGAGGCCATGCTCCGTGGTCACCGGCCAAACTTCCAGGCGAGTGTCTTGCCACTAATCAACGCCCATCTGTGGGGAGAGTATGATGGGTTTGTTTCTCATGAGGCAGGCCTGCCACATGTAAAAGAAGAATTCAGCTCCTTGTCATCCCGCTCCTCGAAAAGCTTGGGTCTTCCGATAGATGTGTGAGAGGCATTGCAAGGAAAACCTTGGTTTCAAATACAAATGATCGGGGGTGGTAACTTCGCACCGTGGATGGCCAACATTCGATCGTCGCTGTTGTTGCAGGCGTTGATGAACTTCATGCTAGGCGAGTACGACGCCCTTCCGTTCGGCCTCCTCAGGCACGGCGAAGCGGGCTCACCGTGCGGATCTGTGGGTGAAGTGCCAAAATTTGTCCACTGCTGTCCGGACCCGGGGCAAAAGGTTATGCCGCTTGACAAGGTTCGTGAAAAGTATATTTCTGTTGTTGACGTTGTTGTTGTTGTCTCCCAATCCAAAACCGTTCCGATATCAGCTCAGTACCCTCCACGTAGACATCCGGCCGGTCCTACAGATGTGTTGGAACATACACGGGTGGTTGTTTTGACCAACTCAATTTCACGCGTACGCCCCGAGAAAACGCATCCTGGCTTTCGAGGATGTGATTCAAGGACAAGCGGTGGCGTCTGCCCTTCACAACATCCTTTAGAAAGTGACTGCCTCCTTCCAACATGCGAACGCAACAAATGGGAACACGCTTCGCAGGTGTTTTTGCTTGCGCCAAATCTGGATTCGTGGGAGCGGATGCAGCTGGACAGCCCACCACCGGCTTCACTTCCTGCCGCCGGCACTAACTCCCGATTCCCGCCGGGGGACAGGCTAAGCTCCACAACGCCGGACTTGACGCCGCCTCCCATCGGAGCCACCACTGCGAACAGCCCAAACAAGCGAGGGTTCCCACCAGAAACACCATGTGCCGTCTTGGGCGACAGGGGGTTTCCATTTTTACAAGACGATATTTTCGGCCTTCAAGAAGAAGACCCGTGTTCGATAGAACGGTCGCCAAGTCACCGGCAGAGGAGGCCAGGAGGAGGAGGAGGAGGCCCGGCAGTAGACTGGCGGGGTTCGCTTGACAACGGCTATCACGGCAACAACGAGAACGACATGTCCGCGTCGTCGCCGTCATCACCAGTTACCGGCGGAACGCCGCAGCAACACCGCAACCTGTTCCCGTCGCCGTTCAGCTCCACGCTTCCGCCCGAAACGGCGACGCTCCCGGCGACGAGCAGGTTCGACGCCAACCGCACGTCTTGGGTGGGCCGAGCGGCGTCCATCGGAACCGGTGGTGCCAGGGGTGGTGCAGGTGGTGGCCGAGGAGGGTCACAGCAGCAACGACATCCCAAGGGGTCGCACGCGAAGCTGGACTTGCTGTTGCACGAGATGCAGCGCTTGAACGGTCGGTTAGATACAATCGTGGGCCGACTGGGTGTTTTGGAGGGGGAAAATCGAACAGATCGGGTGGACGGCGAGAGCGCGAAACAGACTCCGGGTAGATGACATCTCTCTTCAGTAGGATCAACGGTTGTGGCGAGTTGTCGTGGGTAGTCTGGGGCAAACTGATGCGTGGAGGGGATGAGGCTAGCCGGGACGGGATAGTTATACCGCGGAAGAAAAATGAGCGTTTCAGTGAACTGTCTATTGGCTCCAGAGCGTAACGCTTTGGAGTGTGTCCGCAGGGGCCAATGTAGAAACCAGACGGACTACGTCCCACGAATCAACTTTGAATGACAGCGGGAGGCAGACATGATATATATCAGCGGACATCCCTCATGAATGCGTGCGAGTTCCACCTGGAGGGAATGCATGCTCTGACAGCGAAAACATTTGGAACAAGCATGACGGTGCTGGATCGCCTGGTTGGGCACGAAAACACACATCTTTCTTCAGACAAGCTGTTTGTGGGTTGAAGGAAAAAATATTCCCAACTGAAGGTACACCGCAAAGCAGTCGGGTGCTGTACGGTGACCAGCATCAAAGCAAAAAAAAAAAAACAGCGCGGCGGCTTTGGTGCGTGCGTTCCGCGGAGAATGTGGGTTTGGGTGGCTCTCGTGCTTCGCCTATTTAATTCGCACAAAAATACAGCGACGAAATAGATGGTCACAAACAGCAAGAACGGAGAGGATCCAAACACGACGGTAGGATACCGAGTCAAGAGACACAACAAAATATTTACAGGGGTTTCAAGTTGCACAAATCGCCTTTTGCTTGAGCACCATCCGCAGCAGCAGTAAGGTGCACATCCGAAAGCGGACCAGAGTCATCCCATGCCACGACGCAGCCATCGCCACCGGAGTTGCCGCTTCCGCAACCACGGCCCGGGACGAGTCAGTCAGCCACCCGGCGGCGGTTTAGTTTAGTCTGCCGTGGGAGGCTCGGTTCTGCTGAGCCGGTGAACGTGATCTCCGAACCTGGCCATCTCGGTAGCCAGCCAGCCCTTGTCATTCTCCTCCTGGCTGTCCGTGAGGAAGGCGCAGTGGCCTCCGTGCTGTAAAAGGTACAGAAAGAGCGAGGCGGACGACGAAGGCCGAAATTGCGATGAGAAGGAAATTCACTCCCCCCCGGGTGGGAGATTTATTGTGCGAGGGGCCACCAAGTCGTGTATGCTATGTACCAGATCCGTGCGTTGGGAGGAACCGAAAACTCATTCATTGCACGGTCCATTGTGCAGCCGCTCGTTACCGACCGACACAAGATTACACTGAACAGCTTCCTTCATTTCCCGAGAAAAATATCGACGGCGCCGCTAATAGTCTACACCTTTCGGTCTACAGTATGTAGGACGCACGAACCGGCGTCACAAAGGAGGGATATTTCCCTCCTGCGGTGCTTGTAAGCAATTGTTCACGCGAGAAGGGGTCGTCCGCATCCCTTCCCCTCTTCTTTGTGCAAATAAAAATTCACTCCCGAGCTGCAAGACATTTCACTGGGGAGAGATTCAAACAAGCCAGAAGGTACCAACTGAACCCAACTGCCACCGAGTGGTTTGCATAGAAATATATGATGAGCTGGTGCGATGAGACTGAAATTCTTCAAACAAACAAGCATCATGACAACCATAGGCCAACGGTTTGGTCTGCGTTCACTACCGGGAAAATGAATCGTCTTAGCCATGTTCCTGCCCTTCGCTTTTTGCCTGTCGCTACCTGCACAAGGGTCGCCATTGTGCATAGTTCGAGCCCCAACGCAGTTACCACATGGAGTCGTACTTTCATCTAGAACGAGTATCAAGTGACCTTTCAGAGAAGCGCCAAATAAACGTTAGAACCCACGTCTCGATACTAAAGTCACAACCGCTCTAGAACCTTTCACACGAGGCTCAAGACATATATAACCCCTCTCGAACATTTCACTCTTCAAGCGATAATTATCCCATGCCCTCACGTCGTGGTAAGATAGCCGAACCGGGGCTCCCTGCAAGTCATCCACGGTTGGCAGCTTTGCCGGGTCCATGAAAGGGTCATTGATCGCCTGCATCAGAGGGCATTCGGAACGTTACAAAGACAAGGACAACTAGGCGAGGTTCGGTGGTTTTGAGTTGGATGGGGACGGAATCGGGCTCCGTACAGTCGAAGCCGCTGCGTGAATCCTGATGCTCGTTGTGAAACAGGAATGAATCGGCGGGTCACCTGTACAGCTAAGAAGGGCACTCGAACGCCCTTGAGGAACTGCCCGGACTGCGTCTTGCGGTAGTAGTCCTGGTAGCCGTCGAAGCCGAACACCGGCGCGATCACCATGTCGTCAAACTCGCCTAATTTTGGCGTTTCATGTGTCGAAACCGACGGAAATCGAGAGACAAGCACGAAAAGTGAACAACGAGAGGGTGGAGTGAAATCGCAACGTTCGTACAGATAACAACCAGAAAGAATTTTTTTTTGTTTGGTCGTATCGCATCTATCGTGGTGCTATATCTGTAACCTTTTGAGGTCGACCGTTTTCGCTGTTCAGCGTAGTTTGTGGTGTCGCACCTAAAAGTGTTGAATTCTTCCGACCAATTAAGGTCGATCACTTCCGCTACCAAATTTAGTTTGTTGTATCGCACACTAGTGGTGATCTTCTGCAACCAAATTAAGGCCAACCACTCCTGCTCAATTAGGGACGTACTGCACCTATTGTTGTGATCCTCTGCAACCTCTTGAGGTCGATAACTTCCGCTACCCTTGGGTCCGTCAGGGACTTCCTCATCATCTTGGGGATCAGGCTGTTCAGGAAGTTCTTCGCGTACACGATCTTGCCGAAGCCCGTGTCGACTCTCTGGGAGGGGGGGCAAGAGCAACACGATAATAGCTCACAGCCTGAAGCAGGGCGCGAATGAGTGGGGACAATGACGTAACGGAGAGCTTAAACTGACTCGCAACAAGCACAGGGCAAACTAACCAGTCAACAACGACAACAGCAACAACGCTTACGCTTTACAGATTCGGCGTCACCTGCTGGCAGGAAACGGCGTCGAAGGGCACGCACGTCACGGCGCCGCCCATTATCCCCATGTCCCTCGCGCGATCGCCCAGTTCCCCCAAAAACTATGCAGAGATGTAAAAAAAAAATGATAATGCAGTGGGACACGGAGGAACGAAGGCAGGGGCTTGAAAATCGAAGTACACGGCCGGGGCAGCGCGCCCAAAAACAAATTACACCGTGCTTTCGGCTCGCTCCCCGCTCTTCACCTTGGGGAGGCGTTCTCCTACACGACATTCAGCGTTCATACCGTAACCAGCGGTGTTCTGGAGAAAAGGTCCGCCTGAGTTTCGTTGGCAGGGCAAAGGTGTTGGAAAAAATGGTCTCTGCGAGGCGCCTTGAGGTGGACTTCATGAGAAGCTGCTTGACCCGTTGCGGTTGGGTCCGAATCGACTCACGAACGACGTTGGCGTCATTGCTCTCCGGGACTATCGGGAGTTCGCCGCTTGAAGGCATACGCTACAGGAGAACCAGCAAAAGGAAAGCACTTGAATGAATCGGCCGACACAAAACATTAACATTATTCGAAGTAGCTTCCTGTTTGATCGAATCCGCCCAGAGCCAAAGATTACCAATATAAGAACTATTCTCAAACACGTCTCGATCGTCCGGGCCACAGATATTTGCGGCGTTTGAATGGGAAGGGGGCGCCCGTGAAGGGGGCGCCCGTGAATTCGTACTGAGAGGGGAAAAAAACAAAAAACGTATGCGGTGCCCGCTCGCATACCGTTCATTCACTTTCATTACCTTTGTGATCACATTCCCTCCCAAGCTGAAACCCGACAGGAAAAGCGGGCTGTTGGGATGTCTGCTCAGAAAACGAGGACGAGCGGCGGGTATCAGATAAACGGGACAGGATCATGAGACGAGGTTCATGTGCGAATGAACAAAACTTGGAGCTAAGCTCCTTCGTGGATAGCTGCGATAATTTCTCGCTTTGCCCGTGCGGGAAAAAGCGCTTTGCGCTTTAACCTCACAAGTCTAAGGTATGAAATGTTGCAATCACGATGCTTTTTTGGTTTTCTGCACAAGCACCAACGTGGTGACGCAGTGAAGCATAGTAGGAGGCCAGGCGCACAGCAATACGGTGTCAAGACCCTTCTGGGTTGAAGGCCGGCGGTTGACTACATCAGAAACGCGTATTCCAAAAAAGCTCTCCGACGAAAATATAGGCCAGAACATAGCAAAAAATGCCGCGTATACGAAAAACGCCCCGATCATTGGCAAAAGACCCGGGCAAACAAACAAAAAAAACACATTGTGCCGCTTGAACCTCCAACGTATAATGGGGGCATACTTCAGAGGATCACGAAACAATCCCCCCGGTGTGCCTCCAAACGCTGTGTGAATACTGCGGCGCCCCCCCCCCTCGAGGGCAGTCACTCTCCGTAGCTCTCCCCCCCACCAGAATGCCCAGCATAGCTCGCGCCCTCCTCACCCCGTCCGTTCTTTCAGCGGTGTGCAGCCCGGTCTCACCTCGCTCTGAGTGTCTTGCAGACAAGCTCGAGGTCCTCCGTGAAGCCGAGGTGGTAGGCGCGCAGGGTGAGGTTATCCTCGCCCGAGCAGCTCCGGAAGCACATGACTGCCACCCGGAACCCCTTCCGCTGGTACCTGTTTGTGACAAGAACGTCCGCCGAAGCAGCTAAGTAGTACGGCTGCTGCTCGTGCCGGTGCTGATGTTGGCGCTGTTACTTTTACCGCTGGTGGCGATGATACCATCATGGTCGCTCGTCGACAGTCTTGTGCTTCTAAATATTCGTCTACGACAGTCGTGTGCGCTACTTCCCCCGATGAGGAATTAGCACCGTTTTTTCACCTGAGAAGTCTCGGAGAAGTAAAATTATTCTGGTTGATATCACACCTGGTCACGTCTCGTTAGTTGGGAGCATGCCCATTCTTCCGAACAAGGTCGCAAAAGATAGCGCGATGAACATCACGGGTAAACCTGCACGAACTAGCAACGTGGCCGAAATTGAATCCGGCACGGGAAAGCCCACAAAAATATGCGGGGCAATGGTTCACCACGCGTCATAAATCCTCCCCCTCCGCTCTCTGCGCTCATTCCATCCCCCCCGCCCTCCCCCCGATAAGGCACTCACGCTAGCGCCATCTTCGCCGTGAGAGGTGCCGTGCTCGTCGACTCCAGCCCGTGAGTAAGCACCGCAAACGGCGCGGTAGAAGCATCCACCCCTCCCGTGCCGACGGCTCTTTCGAATCCAACAGCGGGGTCACCGGCCGGGACAGTAGCCGCCGTTCCTCCCTCACCGCCGCATCCCCCTCCAATCACAACACCGCCCGGCGCCGCTCCTGTTGCCACCGCCGCTAACCGTCGCCCACCTCCCGGTGGCGGTGCCCCCTGCCGTCGCTCTTGCTGCACCCCTTGCGCCCCCGAGCCTCCTAGCCCTCCACCCGCCGCCCCCCCGGGGGTGTCTAAGAAGTCAACGTCGAGGAAGTCGCCGTCGGGGGTGTTCCACCTCTCCCTTCGGTAAACGACCTTCCGCGCGCCGTGGGAAACATTTTCGAGAGGGGAGGTCGGTGCGTCGTAAGTAACTGTTCCGTGCGCTTGCCTTGGGTGGACTAGTTTCGTCCGCCGGACGGGGGGGCGTGCTTCCGGGGCAGAGATTTACTGGATGGATTGCGTTCGACGGCGTTGCCGTGCCTTGTCTATATCGTAATACGTAAGTGGATGGTCTGTTCTTACGAGACGGAACATCGACCCGGTCGTCTGTTGCGCACGGCAGTTGATGCGCGCCGTTTGGTCCTGTCGTCCTGTGTCCTTCATCGTGTTTCCTACTGGTATCGTGATCCCGCATAGGTTGTCATTTCATTTCGACCTTTTGCTTTCGTCAATCTGCGGTCGGCTGAGAGAAAGGGGTAGCGGGTGGAATCGAGGACGAGTCCAACAAGGGCCAATACAATTACCGCTGTTTCCCTACGTTCGTTACAGCACTTCGCGAGGGTATCGATTGCATGGTGTCCGCCTCTCCGCCTACCTCTACCACACGTCGTCTCGACATTATCGACATTCAAAGCACCTCAAAAGGCATACCAGTACATAACATCAGACCACCACTGCTACGCATTAGCTCCGATGGTCTTGGCTTGTCGCGCCGCTCTCATGTCCAGCTGCAAAACTATGCGTGTCGTTAAACCGCTCTGAAAAAAATGGAACTATTGGTAAAAAAAAAACGAAACGCCAGGCGGGTACCACCAGTGAGACATGGAGGGACAGAAACTGCCTCGCTTCGAGGCAGCACAGGACACCACAAGCGTCAAAACAAGCGTCCGAGCATTAGACGTAAGCAGGCAGCAAGACGCGCACGGGCCGGGCCCGCGTCCAATCGTCAACCAAGAGAGCGACATCCCTGGCCCTCAACGTGCTTCTCTCGATTGTTCCCGATGTCCCTGTCCCTTATGCTTGGGATCAAAGTCTTTCCTGACACCAAATCAAGAACCCACAACCCACCATGAATCCACCCTGCTCGCCTGCCTCCTGCCTGCCTGCCTACATGCAGAACCTACCTCGGGACCTTTGACCCCGAACCGCTTCTGTATCTCGCCTGAGCCAAAGATAGTCGAAAAGTGGTCGTTTTTGGCCCACCACGGCGCAGAATACTTCCGGGGGGCGAAGCTTCAGGTCGAGGAATGCGGCGGGGGGTGGGAGCAGGGACAGAAGGGGGCAGACATCAGAGAGTGATTGTCATACATGCATCGTCCGGTTTGCGGCTTCGGCACGGGGGCAGCACACCCAAGGGGACCAAACTGCTGCAAAGAATATGCACGACCGCGTTCGAAAACAGAGAGGCCCGTGCAGCGGCAGCGAGGAATACTTCGTGTGTCAACCCTTGATCGGAGGGAATCGGTGGCGGGGAGGCAAGGGTAGGGCGAAAACAACGCGAACTATTTCTAGCGAAGACGGTCAACGCCATGACACGAGAGGTACAGGAAAGAGTGGCAGTGGGAAGCGTAAATGGCTTCCCGTGGGGGCAAAGGGTGGGGTCAAGGGAAAGGACAGACGCCACATGACAAATTTTGACAACGCTTTTCAGTAGGCCTGCCCAGGTTGCGAACCTCTGCAGGTCATTAGATGTTCATCATCGCTACATATCTCCACCGCTGATATCGTGGACAATAATTTTGTGTTAGATACCGTGTACCGTAGACAAGAGCGCCGAAGAAATATATACCTTGCTTTCGGCCCCCGGGTTCGCTGACTACACACAAAAAATTATCAAATCAGATTGTCGACCATCATCGACAGCATGTCGGCACATGTCCCTTTTTGCCCTGCATGACCCTGCTGTGTTGCACCCAAATTAGGAACTGTTCCTCCGTAGGTACGTCGAGTGTTGGATCAGTACGGACATACGAAGGTACTGGGTAGAGAGAGATCGGAACGGTTTTTAATGTGAAGACAACAACAACAACAACAACGAGAAACGCATCGACCGTTTACGACCACGTGATGGTGCGCACATCGCACAACCCGTTGTCTGCAAACAATGGGTTGTTCAAGTAACAGCAGTGTCATGAATAAGGGAGACAGACACACTGACAGAGCAGACCTCTCAGCGCTCCGCGGAGTAAGTAGCGGAGAAAAAAAAAAAAAAAACACGTTCGTCAGCAGCAGCAGCACACGCGGCGGTTCAAATTCAAACTCTCATCTAAACGCGTGTATAATACCTCTCTGCTTCGCACTCACCCATCAATGACGCCTTTCGCCGCTGAATCACTAGAGGATACACTCGAAACAGCACCAGCGGTGGTGGAGATGGATGGTGCAGACGTTGCTGATGCAGCGCCAGGCGAGGATCCGCCAGCGGCAGGCGGGCTCGACATGACCACCTGGAGAGCACAAGCGTGGACTGCGAAGGCTGTTGCAGTCGCCAAAAACACAGCCGGAGATCTCCGTGGTGCTCTCGGCAACGAGAATTCTCGCCTTCGCTGCATCTTTCTCTTGTGGTCGAGCTAGTGATGCCAGCCAGCAGCCAGCTGCAGCGAACTGCGGCGAGGCAAGGGCGCTCCGTGGATGCAAACAAGGTACATATGGTGTTACTACAGTAGTCTCTGGTGAGCGGGACAGCAGCAACATATAACAGAAAAAATTCGAGCGGGACAGAATCCACGAGGCATCAGCCAATCAGACTCCTCTATTTCACGAAGTTTCACGAGGCATGACCAATCAAAAACCTCCATAGTCACGAAGTTCACGAAGCACGGAGGATGCGCCGCACGCACAGCAGCAGCAGCAACCATGAGCACACACAACACAGCGACGACAAACCCTTCTGGGGGCTGGAGGTAGGCCTTCAGAGTCGAGGACCACAAGCTGACTCCTGGTGCCAGGACTGGACCTCCGGTTGGAGATCATCAATCAGCAGCGCGGCAACCCATCCATGGGGAAGCTTGAGGTTTGCCAGCCAGAACACAGGAGCTGCAACAACAGCAGCAGCAGATGCAGCCGGCGGAAGCATCGTCTCATTCGGACCAGCACTTCCACCAACCTTTACCTTTCCAACAAATAGCAGAGCCAACAATGTGCCAATAGAGGCGGTGCGATGCCCGACAAGGCGTCTGGTCTTTTGGGACACAACAAGAACAAGTCTGAGCACAGAGCGTGCATCTTCTGCGATCAGGTGAGAGGCCGGCAGTCCCTCCAGTTGCGCTGAGCATGGTACAAAGCATGGTAGGTGTGGATAGATAGACGTTCGTTTGGTGAGAAACTTGTTGAGTTGTTGTTCTTCGGAAGCCCGAGAAGATAAAAATCGAGTCACCACTGCTGCTGTGTGCATGTCTTCGCCCCCCGCGGCCATCGCCATGGTCAGGACACCATAACCTCCGGCGTACACCGTCCTCGCATTTACAGCATCACCCAGTCGCCTGATCTCTTTGCTGACCCGCGCTGACTACCCTATAGATATGTTAGGCGGAGCTGCCAATTAGCGTGGCCGGTAGTAGTGGAGGTTTGTGTCTGGCGAACAGGTCGAGGGTACGGCGGCGTAGTAACGCAAATTGGAATCCCGCTCAACGAGTTCGAATGTGGTTTACACTATGTACTGCAGTAACTGCAGTAGTAGAAGGTTTGGCCATCCTGTCGGTTCCTTCGCAAGACGTCCCGAGCACATGCACGAGTGAAAAAGCACAGAGTCTCACACCCGAAGGGCAGTAGCGAGCAACCTTCTGCTGTAAAACAGCATGCCGCAGCAAAGAACTCCGTGCTCTAGTCGAAGGTACAATCCCACGTGTACGCTATAGGCTTCGTCCAAAGGACAGCCAACCTCCTCACGTACAACGCTTGTTTTCGATGGAACGGAGCACCAATTTTTTGCGCATCAAGTACCAGGGGCGAACGTTATGCGCGGCAGTCCCAATAAAAATATTGAACAAGGATGCCCGAGAGCCTTCGGGTTCGCGTTTTTCTTGACGTTCTGGCGTATATGTGGGTGTACAGCAGTACAAGTCTACGGCAGTACAAGATCGTGACCCTTATTATTTCGAGATTCTTGCCTCACTCCCTTCGATGTTTGGTACAGTACTCTCATCGATACGGCGCCCATTGTTTTTCGATTCGTATGGCGTTTGCCCCGTAGTTGACGGCTGTTGTGTTCCAGGGACCGCGCCATTGGTGCTGCTTGATTGCTGTGGTACCAACACAACCAATCGTGTGAATGATACCTTGAATGAATGAATGCATGATGGAATCTTTGCAACATCATTTCCAATGCCCATCTCACCGATATGGCACCGAGTTAGAAGCCGCTGCCTGTGCTTGGAGGTTTGACAATACGGGTCTGTGACAACTGCTCGTGCCCAGTCCGTCGAAATAGCAACGGATGCCGAGAGGGGACAGAGAGAAAGAGAGATAATGGGGAAGCGAGCCTCCCCCCTCGGCATCCTATGAGATAACTGGTCCTCTTGTTCTGACGGATTGCAACCACCAACCCGCAAAGAACACTTGACACAAGAACTCGCTAAACGACCCGCATGATGCATGTGTCTGCTGCTCCCTGCGGACTGGTGGGTTCGGCGGTCATTGGCTCTTGGCTCGAAACACCGGCTTGGCAGGAGTACTTGAGCGGAGGGACTTTGAGCTCTCTGTTGAGAGAGCACAGGGAGAAACCCATGAGAATTTCCAGGGTGCGTACAGGCGTGGTGTTGTCTAAACCTCAGCCCCCACCTCGCATGCATATCGTATTCGTTCATGCGCAACAAAATCAATTCTGATCACAACAACAACCACAACGACAACAACAATAATCATAATACAACAGGTGCTCGACCTGTCGCTGGCGTTGTGTAACGCTTTGGAGTACCTCCACGATGTGGCGGTGCCTGGACGCATCGTGTGTCACCGAGACCTCAAGCCGGACAACATCGGTTTCGCGTAGGATGGCACGTTGAAGCTCATTGACTTCGGACTGGGAAAGGTAACGACACAACTTTATTGTTCGTACCTATCTAAATGTAAAACGTGTAACCGTGCGTTTACCGACATTACATGGTGGCCTGCTGTATGCCATTGGGAGGAATACGCGTGACAAACGCTTGACTACGCTGTTGTCCAGCAAACCGGAAGCGAGAGACGGGGCATGGCGTCTGTGTGTGGAAGTTTCCGACAGTTCAGAAAGGAGACAACGCGATGGGTACAGAGAGGCTGATCTCTCCTACCGCTGCACGCAGCAGCCGAGATCGACGAGATAAATGCAAGACCTCGACGTTTATGTGTAGATGTTGTCTTGACAGAAGTTGAGAGGTGGTAGAGACACATCACACAGGTAACATTCATACGTTGCTACACCACATTGATGTACAGCACCGGCATTCCCCTATCTACGCTTGCGCAAGTGTCCAGTGTGTAACCTGTTCGACCTGTTCCCTGCTCCTCGTTCACGACTCGTTTGCTTTTTGTCTGAACAATTGCAAACAGACACACGTACCCTAAACTCGCTCGTGGCTCCTCTTCTAAGATCAATTGCGTGAGAAACTATTTTCCTGTTCACCGCTGCTGCTGCTGATCAACACTACCTTTCGAATCCCACACCATCTCGTCAACCGAACGTGTTGTGTTTCTGCTCTGCATACAGGCAACTCACGGGTCCGTACTTCCACCAGGATTGGGCGATAGGAAAAAACTGGAAGAGGGGGGGGGCGGGGGGGCGGGGGGGGTGTACTCATTGTCGTGCATGCCGTAGTCGTTAGACCATTGACCTCGCATCCCTACAAAGCCGGGACGGAGCACGCCGGGTTCTCACCGGACCAGGCTCTCACATCACCAAGCGCGAAGCGCCGTGAGGTATTTGGCGAGTCGCATGAAGGGTGAGCTGCATCCTGCTAAGGGTGTTCGGCATCTTGTGCTTACTTCCTTGCGTACGGATGACAGCTACGTATGACTTAATTTATTTTCTGGTGCTTTCACTTCCAGAGACAGTTGTAAGCACTGTGTAACTGCCTCGAGGATGCTTGACCATTTTAACACAACGTGGTGCGATCATCCCCCGTTGCGCGGAGTGAGGTTTCTCGACCCCGCACAACATGATCTACTCGACCACCATTATGGTTACCGCCAAAAAAAAAAACGAGGTAAAAAAAAAAAACGGTAACCTGGTTGCCGAGTTCACAAAGTGAATTGGCTTGTTTTACAACGTCGTTGCCTAGCGACGAAAACCCAATCCCGATGGCAAACACCGAGTGGGGGGGGCGGGGGGGCGGGGGGGGGGAATCACGATACCTGCTCTCCGAGGCGAACGGAAACCAGCGCATTTTTGCGTGCACAGATTCTCGGCATGCCTTTTTACCACAGCCCGTGTGCGGTGCCCCGCGGAGGGAGTATGCAAAGAAAGAATGCGGGGGGTGGGTGGGGCTTGTTGTCTGTTGAAGACATCGCCAACAAGTGCTTCTGGCTGTCGTTTGAGTTACCGTTGACCTCGCTATGGGGCAGGGTTGTTGTACCAACCAAACATGCCGGAGCTTTCTAAGAATGGGAGTAGACACGTCAAGGGGAGGGTTCTGGCAGTGGCGAAACGTGGCATACGAAACCACGTTCGAGCATTCGAGCATAAGAAATGTGCCCAAAGTGGTGTTTCTTTGCGTTGTTTTGGATGGAGATGGTTGGAGCGTCCGTTAACCAGCAGTGCGTTATTAAATTTGGCGAGGTATCATGTTTTCTTCGAGGAATGGATGCAACGAGGAGGGGAGGTGGCATGGACAAGGCCCCATGGCCGATGTGAGATAGGCTTACCAAGCATGCAATGCGCGTATGTATTTACTACAACACCTGGTCTTGTCCAAACCACGCAGCATCCAGATGAAAATTGAATAACTCCATTCATTGCGATCGAGCCTAGAGCGACGTATACAGCATCTGTGAGCTTTCAACTTTCTGTGGCGTGGGAGATGTACACCTGCCTCTTGCTGGGTGTGTTGATCGAAACCTTTTGGACCGATCGTATTTCGCACCGATAGCCTGGCTGTTGCACGTTCATTGAAAAAAGAGACAATCATGTTTGCCAAGAAGTACATATATGATGGGCAAAGCAAAACAGCAACAACCACAGTTTGTTCGGTTGTGCTTGCATGTACGCATACAACGCATAGACTAATACCTGTATTAGGCGGGTTCCGAGGTCGTCGTCAAGTGTACTTTATGTGCATCATGTTTACTGCTGCGCAGTTCAAACTGTAGAGGAAACACGTGCACTCGCAACCTGCCCGGAAACATCAACAAAGTAGGCCAGATGGCACCAACCAGAGTTACATAGTTGTTGTTGTAGTTGTGCATTTGAAACACAATTATGTGCCCATCGACGAGTGCAACACAAGAGTACGTGCACACTTCGAAGTACACTACGCATCATCAGTAGCACGTCCAACAAAGATATCTGGGAGCCGTCCTTCTTCTCGGCCGTTAACAAAAAAAATGGGTTTCAAATGGTTTTAGCGGCCTTCGGCCGCGTAATTAAACCTCGTGGAAGCTGTCCCGCGACAAAAAAAAATCGCCGGTGAGACCCCCTTTTGTCGATGTATCCAACCAAGTTGATGCATCTATGCATCGCTGCAGTGAGTGATCATGTGGGAAACGACGCAGCCTTGGCCCGACCGTTCACAGCCCACAAGGAGGATGACACTGTAGCTTACCTGCTTTCTGTCATTTTCCGTCCTTCCATCCACTTGAATTTTCCATTCTACCTCGCAGATGTGCGGCGTCCTGTACTTGTAGTAAATCGAAATCCCGCCGATTTGTGTGTTTGTAGAATAGGTCAATCATGTTCTCTGTGTGCTCTCTAGGGTTAGCCCTCGTTGTTTGAAATTCGGCCCGCAGCATCGGAAACAACCTCTGGCGATAAGGTGCTCGCGTGAGCACAGAGTATTGCGCATCACCATAAGCGGCACAGACGGCATTTCAGCTCTGTCTCGTTGTCACCACCACTACTACAGCCATTAGTGTGTACCATTTTTTTTTTCTCCCGTCATTGGACTCTGTCATCTGCCCCTCTGGCCCCCTTCCTCCTCTTCTACTAGCTAGACGACCCAACCGGGGTCACATGGGAGGGGGGGCTGGACCCCCTCCTGCGGTTCCTGCCTGAGATAATTTTATCGCGAGAAGGGTACAGCAATCCCTTCCCTCGCGACCTATGAAGTCGATCTAGTTTACTAACAACGAGCTCTGCAGCGCACCGCTTCCAACTTAGACCAGGAAATACTTAGAGAGAGAGAAAAAGAAGTCACTTTGCCGGGACTCGAACCCATGACCTGGCCCTTAGTAGGCTGAGAGGGTGCCCACTAGACCACCGGGGCGATCGGGTGTGTGCGTCCCTGGATGCCGAGCAACATAATGATTTGACGTCTTCCAGCGCCAGGTGCCTGCAAATCAAAAGTACCATCGGGCTTCCCGAAGACAACCTTTCTCTACTTAGAGGGTCGTGGGGGCCTTCTCGTGCTACTCCTTGTGGGCATGCATGCGTGTCCGGTCACGGCATACTTGAAGAGAGAGCTACAACAACGTGCATGCGTGTGAAAAATGCTGAATGATTTAACTCTCCACAATATTCCAGGCCTGATGGCAATAACATCATATTTCAGAAGCGGCTTTTGAAACTATCCGCCGCCGTGCTTTGCCAACGCCTTCCAACGCATGTTGGATACTATTCCTCACACATGACATCCACCACCATGTCTCAGCTGTCACCCCACAGCCCTTATATGCCCCCGACATAATACGTAGATGGCAGCTTCATGCGATCGTCACCTTTGGAGATTGAACGATAGTACTTCGAGTCGGCGTGACAAACCAACTCTCTGCGGTTTCGCGTAAAACCTCCTGAAAGGACACAGCAAAGACAAAACTATGTATGTAATCTGCACCACTCCATCGAATACTGCCCCCGTAAACACAGACGGATTGACCTCCTTCCCGCTGCAGTTGGGAGACCTCTGAATGTGTTGATGTAGACTACAGCATATCGACTATGGTACAAGTCAGCAAAGAAAGGTGGATACGTGGATACGCCGTAGACTTCATCCACATTGTAACAAAAGTATGACCGAGGTTCTGTTAGATATACAGCATATCCACTTTGCTACAAATCAGCGCTGGCTTGTAGCATAGTGGATATGCTGTACATCTAACACGACCGTGTCACGATCCAAAAAGCCACATGCAGAGCGCGGTTCAGTTGATGGTGTCGACGACCCTAACAATGACACGGACACTCCAACTCTTGAATAATATCGGGTTGGGACCAAACGTTCCGACCGCGTGTATGAAGCAAAGCTCAGAAGAATGTCAGAGGGACTCGTACCACCGGCCCTATCCAAGACTCTCGAGAATTGCCTAGCGTCCGATGCGCTACCCACCGTTCTACACATAGTCCTCGTCGAATTTCGTCCGCGGCGACCATTTGGGTACGGACATGACGCATTTCCACTTGTACTTGCATTGTACTACGCACGCACAAAAACAAAGCATTATCTTCCTCTTTTGCCTTCATCACAGCGCAAGCCAAGCTGCGAAGGCTCGTCGCACATTCAGGCCTCGCACAGCTTAAATTCCGCAGCCTTCTCCTCGTGGTGAGTTGCCACGAAGCCGGATACGCTCCACTTGACGTACTGCCCCTCATGCCCCTTGATCTTGACCGTCGGCCCGTTCCACACAAGCTCCAACACCTCCCAATCGCCGTTCGTGGGCACTTGAGAGTCCCACACCACCCACTCCCTCGGGTGGCTGATGCCGAGCATGAACAGCATATTGTTGTTGTGCATGCGGCTGTGCATGCGGTACCCCCCCGCCCCCCCCGAGAACATGAACCGGGACGGGGTCGATATTCCGGCCTGAGGGGTTGTGTCTCCAAACTCGAGAGAGAAACCCCCGAGGCGGGGCAGCGGTGGGCGGACGCCAATGAATATCCTCGTCACCTCTGCGACGAAATCCAGCGCATCCTGCACGCGTCGCAAAAATGGGGGCGTGATGCAACAGTTCGACGGCCGATGGAGGTGAGACGGCTACCCGATACTACGGGCATCGCAAGTCCCGATGCAACACTCCTGAAATGTTGAACATGAGATATAGCCACTAAAAAAGTTGAAAGTATTGATCGGAAATGGGCAAAATTGGTGGTACTCTCTGGATGGAGTATTATATAGTGGGTACTTATGTTGGGGCAAGCTCCACCGCTTTTTTCTCTCCACCTTTGATTTGATGCTTGATAACAATTTCCATCGCTTGGTGCAGATATTGCACGTGAAATAGGTCCGGTCCTTAGATTTTCTAACATGCGCACGGAGAGGCGGTACCCGCTGGAACATTGCTCGTCGCTAGCTACATAGACCATATGAAGAAATCTCTGCGTCGCCGCCATGACACAAAATAATTCATCATTTGAAACTTCAAATAATGCCTGGCCGCGCCTTCCCCTCCGCTTCAGTCTGAATGTTTGTTTTTTGCAACGACAAGTTAGAAACCGCTCGAAACACGCCCCTCACCGCACGCAGCCCCGCGTAGGATGATTTGCGGTTCGTCGCCTGTAGAACCCGCCTTCCGTCGGGAGACAACAGGCAATAATCTGTTTCTACGCGGAAGGTCTTCTCGGTGACTTCATGGTGAGACTTCCGGCAGAGTGGCAGGAACAAACAAAGTTAGGGCACACGAAACGCCAAACGACCAGCAGCAGTGTTGCAATTTGATGGGTCGGTTTGGGCACCTCAATCATGACGACAAATGAAATTAGGATTGGGGTTCAACCATTCGCGCAACCGT